TGAATGTGATTGTAGATAATTTTGAAGATTATAGATAGCTAGTCTCGAGAGGAATATGATGCAGAGTACTTGACTATTAAGACAGGCTCTTGCCTATCAATCATGCTGTCTCCTATCCCATCTGCCTTTTTCTCTTGGCATTTTTTTCTTTAAGAGAAAGGACACATGACCCTAATCATTCATTAACAAAATCAATTTATCATCCTAAATTAGGAAACCCATACAAATCATTATCTTCCATTAACATCTTAGAACAAATTAGTCCTTTGAATTAAAAAATGTTCTTTAAACTTCTTGAAATGGGCCATGTCTTAGGTTTAAAAAAAGACCTCCCGCACCATCCAACACTGATGCAAGACATCTTCCCCACATAAGCAGGGACGCAAAACAGTCCATCAGCAGCTGGAGAGCAGATTAAAGACATTGTCAACGTGATGTAGGAAAGAGCTGCCAGTGGGAAACGTGGGGATCGTCAATCAGTAGGGCTTGGATTTTCCCTCGTATAACTGAAACCCCCACTTAACCGCGAAATTGCAAATGAGGGGCTTTTATTTTTCATCGTATAACAAGGAATCTGATAGTAGGAGATGCAGCTACTTTCCTTCTTTGGACCAAACCACATAGTTTGCTTCTTAATACTTGTCCACACATGATCACAACGGCCCATCCACTGGCGGCATGACATGCGCATTCAGGACAGAATGAGAATGGCCGCTTTTAGGAGGATAATGTTTTAGCTCACAGCAGTTCCCAAATGCAGCAAGCTCAGTGTGCAGAGCTAATGCAAAAGAGGCACATGCCAACAGTCTACTTCCTTCTAAAGAAAAGGTTCTGGACGCCCACAGACCTGCCATTGGCCAGAATTATGTCACCTCATCTCTCCCAGCTGTGAGGGACATGGGAAATCAAACTGTTTTAGTGAAACATTGCAAGATCAAAATTAAGCTGTGTAATGTAGAAGTTAAACACATCTTAGGGAGTTTAAACATGGCCTGGTTTTCAAACCCTGCTCATTTATTTACTTGCTGTGTGGCTGAGTTGAGTTGCCCCCTGTAAACCAGACTTAAATGGTTGTTTTTTCTAGGGCTGTTGCGAGGATTAAAGGAGTCAATTCATTCTCTGACCTCTGTCCCTCCCCTTCTTTCTCTCTCTCTCCATAATGTTGATCTCGAGCGGGGTTTTTCAACCATACCACTGCTGTCGAGGCCAGGTAACTGTCTCCAGTGAGGAGATCTTCTGTGTTTTGGAGGATATTAAATAGCACCCTTGCCCTTTATCTACTGGGTGTCAACAGCATTCTTCTCCCATGACAAACAGGAGGATCCCGAGCATTGTCAGAGGCCTTATAAGACATCCCCTCCCCCAGGGCGCTTTGAATCGTCACCATCAGCAGCTGAGGATGGGTGCTGTAGGCATTTAGTGAATAGAGCCTGGGAGGACACAAAGCACATTAATGCTTATTACATAGTCCAGTGCCCAGCACTAAAGAAAGAAGTGGATGAGACCAAAGGCAGGGGCAGGGGTTCCTTGTAGTTCTCTTCAGATTGCTTTCAGTTCTTTTCTCTTCAGATTTGGGAAGGAGGTGGGGCAGGGGGTTAGGCCATGATCATCATGGTGGGGACCAGACAGGCATGGCACTAGAGCCGTAGCTGAGAGCTTTGCATCCTGACCCACAGGTAGCAGGTAGAGAGAGAGACTAGACCTTGTGTGGGCTTTTGAAACCTCAAAGCCCACACACCTCCTAATCCTTCTCAAACAGCTCCACTAACTGGAGCCCAAGCATTCACACAGACAAGCCTTTCTCATTCAAGCCACCAGAGGGCGGTAGAGAATGAATACCAGAAGTAACCGCCATGCTGTGCTACAGGGCTTGCTTGAGCTATGTAGTAACGAGGTCAGTAGAAAACCACTGGGCCTGGGTTTCTGTTTTCCTTGGGCCAGAGGCAGTGGATCAAGTTGAATTGAAGAAATTCTACTTTTGTCAACAGTTTAAGGAAGCAGCCCAGTGGGGTGGCACGCACCTGGAATCTCAACATCTGGGAGGCAGAGGCAGGTGTATCAATATAAGTTCAAGGCCAGCTGGTCTACACAGCAAATTTCAGGCCAGCCAACTCTACATAGAGAGACCCAGTCTCAAAACACTAATAAAGTGAAAACACACACATATATGTATATATGTATATATGTGTGTGTGTATACATATATATATGTATATATACATACATATATATACATATATATACATATATATATACACTCTCATACCTGTACATTCATATATATCTGGAAGTAATGAAGCAGGCAAGACGTGATAAAAATGGTTAGAGAATCTGAGTTGAATGAGAAGACGGATATAAGGGACTGTGGAAAAATAAGACTCAAAAACAACAAGACTATATAACAGCAGGTAGTTTCAAAGTGTTTTGAACATGGTGAACTAGAAGAGGCAAGGTAAGCTCTGCCATGCTGTAGCAGTGATTTGCTTTCCCAACAAAATTCTCAGTTTTCACTAAGGACGGAGTGGGACAGTCTGCAAAGGCAATCTGATAAACTAGGCATCCTAACTGGGGCTAGGGTTTCTTAAATGAAATTGTTTTCCATCAATAAAGCCAAACACTAGGGAAGCAACACAAACCGTCTGAAAAATCAGGGAACTCCAAACCTCTAAGGTGACTTCTTGCCTTCATTATTAATTTATTTACGTAGTGTTCCTATAGCTGTTCAGATACTTGTAAGTACACATGGGCGGGGGAAGGTGTCAGGCCTCCCATATTTAACCTAGAAAACAGAAACTCCAGACAAAGCAATCACCAAAGTCATCAGCAATTGTTTCTAGCATGTTCATGGTTCCTGTTTTTGGGAATCTTGTTTGAAAATTGCAAAAGATTAAGATACATCTATCCACTTCCCTACTTTCACATGGAGAAAATATACAAGAGGTCAAAGCACCCTTAGGAGAAACATGTAGCCTTTATGGACTTGATCTCTTAAGCATCAGCAGTGTGAGTACCAACCAAGCCCTACCCCTCATCAGCTGCAAGGTCATGGACAAGGCACTTCAACTCCTCAGCTTCAGTTCCTTCAACGTAAAAAAACGGAGCTAGCAATGCCTGGCTGTCTCGCAGGGCTATTACCCAAGAATCCTTTGTAAGCCACCCTGTACTTGACTAATAATAGTCGCGATGAGTGTACTTTGAGAGGGACAGGGAGTATCCCCTTCTGGCTAGAATGGAGAAAAGGAAGAGAAAACATTTTCTTACAAGTAGCAGGAATCTCTGTTACGTGCATTAGTGGAGCTCCAGGCTCATTTGTCTGCCAAGAGCAAGTGCGGGGACGTGGCTGAAACTTGCATCTGGCAAATGACCCTTGTAGCCAAGGGCAGAGTCGGAAATCTAGGGCACAGCAAAGCGTTCCTAGAGACACAGCCTGAAACACAACTGGTAGGTATAATTTTAGGGCCGATTCTTAAGCAGTTGTTTTGGATTCATAGCGAGTGTGGAAATAGGTGGGTTCTAGCCACTGGCGAGCAGGAAGCACAGCTTTTGTGACTTCATCCTATACCTGGTGGTTGGCCACTCAGGAGTCTTTCATAGCATACAACTAGGCATCAAATACTCAGAAGGCCTCACAAAAATGTATCAAAGAAAAGGCAGGCTGGAGCAGAGGGCATAGCTCAGTTGGTAGTGTCCTTGCCTAGTATCCATAAAGCCCTGGGCTCACTCTCCACCTCTTAAAACTGGCCATGGTGGCGTGGGCCTGTAATCATAGACCTCAGGCTGTAGAGGCAGGCAGATCTGAAGTCAATCCTTAGCTACAGAGCCAGTTTGAGGATCATCTGGACTACATGACCTCCGGCCTTTAAAACACAACCAACTCAGATCATTTAACTGTAAGCTTGTCTTTAACTAGGTCCGTGAAGAAACAAAAGATAACAACTGTCTTCATTTTTCTGTCTGGAAAAGGAAGCTAGTATTTAGATACAGCGTGAGAGTAGAGGTGTCTAGTCCAGCCCTTGTACTTCCTAAAGGAGAAGAGGATTAGCACGCTGAACTGACCAGTTTGGATGCACAGCTGTTGATGAACAACAACGGTACTAAGATTTCACCCACCTCCACGTTTGTGTTCATCCCACCCTCATCCCCACCTTACCCCGTTGCTTCCCTCAGTGTTAGTAGCAAAATAGGGGTTGGTGGGAGGGTCTTATTTATAATCAGTATGATATTTCCATTATCCTGCCAGCAGCAGAGGAACATGCCAGGAGAAACAACAACTGCCATGCCCAGGTCGTGTCCACCATGATGGCTAGAGACACTCCCAAATGGTTTTTAGTAGGTTTTAAAGCTTGAGGGTGCTCAGCAATTCTAGGATGATGACAAAAGCCCTATTCAGAAGCCCTAGAGAAGGCAAAAGGACACAATGCAAAGCAAGCAAGCAACCTGAGAGCCTTGGTGATGGAGAGTCCCAAAATCTTACATTCCTTGAAGCGGGGTCAGCACGCTGGATATAAGGCACTGTGGCCACCATTTAACTCATTCATAACCTCACAAACACTAGACGATCCTTTTCATTTTGCACCAAACCTCTCAAGTTATGTGGCTGATGCTGTTCTGTGACAACCACCAAGAGTTGGCCTGCATACCACAACCACTACTTCTAGCCCTAAACAAATGGGACTGAAGGAAAAGCCCTGAGAATCTTATCCCCTTGGTGACTTCAGAAAGGGGAACATGCGGGGAGAGGTAAGAGGGCTGCAGCTTTGGTTCCTTTTCAATCCTGGCAAGTCAGATGCCATCATAAACATGACCCCAAGCACACTCTGCAGCGTCTGATTCTTCTTCTCGGGCAGTCCCGTTCTAATCCTCCTTGCTAAAGAATCTAGATGCTGCCGCGAGCGGCGCCGTTTCCCAAGACTTCCTTCGGGCAGCGCTAGTCAGTCCAGCCGCTTTAAGTGGGAAAGGAAGACAGCCGAAGGAAGGTACCAGAGGCAGCAGTGCCTAAACATGGGAAACCCCATCCTTCAGACGGCCTCGCCACTGCTGAGGAAATGTTTGGGGTCAGGAAGTTATGGGGAGCCGGGTTTCAGGTGGCCGCGACTCTGGGGCCACGAGGTGGGCTATCTGCTAGCTTCTCCTCCTGAGCCAAAGGGTCAAAATCCGGCTTTGAACTCCGCGCCTCCGAGAAGGGGCGGAGCCACGACGGAGGGAAGGGTTTCTGTGGTGCCTCTGCGTCTGGCTGCACCCTCTGAAAAGGCTTCTAATCGGCCGCAGAGGTATGAGGGTTCCATAGTGTAGCGGTTATCACGTCTGCTTTACACGCAGAAGGTCCTGGGTTCGAGCCCCAGTGGAACCATAGCTTTTTCTCTAAACGCTATTGTCAGCATAACACCAAAAGCCTGAAACAATATTTTTTCTTTCTTCTACCTGTATTTCTCCTGACACTTTTCTATCTCAGAAGTGAAACGACAGACACCTCCTTCCTCTCAACCAAGGTCGCAGAAATAACCCAGAGTGGAAGCAGGGCGGGTTGGAGCCTTAGCTGTTGTTTACTCCACCTCCGAGGGGCTCTGGAGTGCAGTAGCCCTTCCTCCCCAGCCAGAACAAGTTGACCTCCAAAACTTCCCACGAAAATACATCAGCGTAGAACGCTTGGACTGCAACTAAGTTTTTAAAAGTTGATGATGATTAAAGATTTAGGACTCAACTTTTTGATAGCTTATTCAACTCTAAAATATGGAGCAAGAACAAAAGCATCCTCCCTTCCCATGTAGCCGGAAGGTTAGTGGAAAGAATTTTCCTCTCTTTAAATAAGAATTCACATCCAGTTTAGAGTAAGTGTCCTGCTTTCAAATTTATTAATTAAATGTGGTCTTTGTCAGTTTCATACATGTATATATAATGCATCCTGACAGTCTCGCTCCCCACCCATGTGTTGATGGGTGCCTAAATGTTTCTTCAGTTCGCTTTTGCTCCTTTTATTAGGGTTCTGTTGCAGGGAGAAGAACTTTCTAGGGGTGAAGGGATGTTTTTATCTTTGGCAAAAGTATGAGAGAAAGGTTTCTGGGGTCCTGGGGGTCAAGGGTCAGATGATGGTAGGCGAGAACTAAATGAAGAAGAGACACTTTAGGGTTGTTGTTTTTCTTGCCTTCTCCCACCCCCAGTTTCCATTATACAGTATATGAATTTACATCTTTTTCTAACTCAAAAATATGAAATGATTTTCCGGTTAACAGTAAATTTACTCTTTTTAAACCTCATCCAGTAAAATGCAGTGAGGAACTGATTGCTGTGAACACATTTCCAGAATTTTCTCTTGCAAAACTGAAACTGTACATCCATTCACCTTGTTCCTCCCATCAACTCGATTTTTAACGGCCATGTAATAATGGTGGCTAAGTGCACCGGACATTGACCTAAGTACTTTGTTTTGTTTAGTTATGCTCAGAATCGAATGTGAGCCTCCTGCTCCCATAGTCAAAGCAAGGCTCGCCATCCTAAGCCAAGCTCCATCTTCCCTTACTATGTGCTTTGTGACCTCATCCCATCTCAACCTCAGCAGAATTCTGGGAAGTAGCTATTATTGCCATCATTTTACAGGCAGTGAATTTGCCTTCAAGTCACTCAGTTACAAGTGGATGCTATGGAGTTTCCTCCCAGCTCAGCTTGGGAATCTTTGCACTTAGCCAGCTTCCGAACCTTGGACATTCTGATTGTCCCCATGCTGTCATTATCATAAGTAACTCAACACCGCACATCCTTATGTATACATGAGCTGCCACCACCAAAGATAGTGTTTTCCTGAGTGAGCAGATGGCAGCCTAGTGCCAGTTTCTTCTGGGAGAGAACACTAGGACACAAACAGAGGCCAGGTCACTCCCTAGAAAACGATACTGGAGAAAGAATTAGGGACCGAGGTCCGATTCTTGTTTCCATTTCCTTCCCTTGCTCGCTTTACCTTAAAAGGGACAAACTTCGGTCCCTTCTTTGCTGAACCAACCTATGGTTCAACAATATCTTCTGAGGCTTCCTGCGGAGGCAGGGAACTGTGTGGGTTAACTAGAGGTGGGCTGAGTGGAAGACCTAAAACCAAACTGGAATAAGATGCTTAGCGAGGCCAGTGGCTCAAGTTAATCGCCTGCTCCTAGGCCAGCTCCCCACTTCAGGTAGGCAGAGCTGTGGCCAAGGACAAGGGGAAAATGCCACACAAGATCAAAGGCTTCTTCTTATTACTTCTCTTTGGCTATGAAGGTATGTGTCACTCTGCCACTGACATTTATTTAATATTTAATAATGTTATTTAATTAAGAAAATAGATGAAAAATCGAAATACAACCTGCATAATAGAAATTATTGGATAGCACCGTGTGAATTAGTTAACAGCTTATTAATTTTAAAAGTCATTTTTGTGTGGCAATTTTGTCACTGTCTTACTACTAACATGCTGGTTCCGTGAGGAGCTTTCTAAAGTTCAAATGGTGTTTATAATGCAACGGAAAGAAAGGCCTCCAAATTTCTATAAAACTAGTGTAAATTGCAACAATTAATGCGAGATCATGTGTTCTTGGAAAGTTTAAGAGGCGAAGTTCGAGCAATTGTAGAATTTCATATCCTAAACCCGACTATTACTGAGAGCTAAGGATGAAGCTATTAATAGATCCACTGGGACAAGTGTAAACGAGGACTGTCCTAGGCAAATCAGGACAAAGGGTCACCCTAGTTTAAATATGGATTAGCATAAGGCAAAGTACCACTGGAGTCTAATAAAATAATCCACAGAGAGCCAAGAAAGCCTAAACACTCATATACTCTGGCACTTTTCAATTTCTAAATGTGGCCCTAGCGGGCATAATATACTTAAATAAAGATAGATTAAAGCCAAATCTCTAAAATGCCCATCAAATAAATTTTAAATTCTCTCTCAGTCTTAGAAATCATACTCGTTAATGATGCTCTCGACTCTCATCAAGTCAGAATTCCTTCCAAAGTTCACAATTTCAAACACTAAAATTTGGCTGAAGGGCTGGAGATGTAGCTGAGCGGTACAGCCCTGCCTAGTCTTCCTGAGGCCCTGGGTTGAATCCCCAGAAGTACTATAAAGCAAACAAATAAAAGCCCCATTTTATTCTTTATCTGGGGTAGCTGCGCATACCTACAATCCTATTACTGGGCAAACTAAAGCAGGAAGGTCATGAGTTCAATGCCGACCTCAGCTATTTAAGTTTGAGGCCAACCTGGGCAACCTAAGACCCTGTCTCAAAACAGGAAGGAAGTCTAGGCTATATAGGAAGGTCTTGTCAGGGAAAGAGAAAAAAAAAGTAAGCAAGGAAGAAAGAAAGGAGGAGGGAGGGAGGGAGAAAGGAGGTTGAATTACTCTTGTGAACATTGTGTGTTTATGAGTGTTAGAGGGAATGATCTGTCAATCAGACAACATAAATACACATAAGGGTCAGAATTCCTGACTTATGTCATTCTCTTCTGTTTTCTCCAAATATATATATATATATATATATATATATATTATATATAAATATCTTATAACTATAAGATATAATTATAACTATGATACACAATATAACACAACATGTATAATTATACGGGTTTGACTATAATTATATAACCATTATATATAATATATAATACCCATTTTCATGATCTATCTGTCTTGTGACTTTCATTATATAGTTGTATTTCTAGTGTTTAGAAAGACTCATAAAAATAAAATCTCAAGGTCATACTGCAAATCCTAAGATATGGGTTATTTTTTCTTAGTTTTCTTTTTAAATTCTTTGTGTTGTCATTATTTTGAGGCAAGATACCATACTGAAGCCCAGGCTAGTCTTCACCTCACTATGTAGTCCAGGCTGAGTGTGACTTCATAGTAATCAGCCTGCCTCCACCTCCCGAGTGCTAAAATTACAGGCATGAGCCACCACACCTAATTTCTAAGATAGGTTTTTAAGGAGAGTTCATGCAACCGGTTGTCAGAATTCCATCCTTGCCCTTTGCAATTAAGAGTCAGAAATTTCTGCCTTTTATTTGTTTAGTTATTTATTTGTTTATTCACTCATTTCTTTGCTCAGGCCTGGAGATGGGACCCAAGGCCCGGTGCATGCTGAACAATGGCTCTATCCTTGAGATATAGGACCCACTCCTCCCACAAATTTTCCCAGGCTTTCTGATAGTTTTTGTTGCTTCTCTTTTGTTCCTCGTCCTTTCGTCCCACACAAGAAGCTGTAAGTGAAGTCTTTGATGCCGACACCCCTGGCTCTCAGACAGAAATTCACGGAGATCATACTTCATTTCGCTTTCAGATGGTCGCCGTTGAGATTCATTTGGTCACTGCTCTGTTCTTTCGAGAGCCCTTTGTCTGGGCTTGGAGAGAGAGCTTAGTCTGTAAAGTGTTTACAGCTCACACACCAAGGGTTTGATCCCCAGAACCCTTGTTGAAAAAAAAAATCAGACATGGAAGCTGGAGAGGTGGCTTAGCAGTTGAGAACACTTGTTGACGAGTACCTAAGTTTGGTTCTCAGTGTGCTCTACCTCCAGTTTCGGGGGCTCAGACAGTTTCTTCTAACCTCCTTGGGCACCAGGCACGGTACATATGCATGCAAGTAAAACACCAGTACACATAAAATGAAAATAAATAAGTTGAAAACAAGCCAAACGTAGTGTTACATGCTTATAATCCTGGTGCTGGAGAGGCAGATGCCTGAGCCTTGTTGGTCTGCCAGCCTGACCTACTGGATGAGCTCCAGACCTCTCTGGAGAGTCCCTGTTTCAAAAACAGGGTGTGAAGAGTAAAAGATGGCTCCTGAGAAATGGCAGCCACAATTGTCCTTTGGCCTCCACCTGTGCAATACAAACCCATATCTGAATATCTGCAGCAGGGTAAACATTAGAACTCAGAAGCAGAATAGGTCCCCTCACCTGACAACACTGCTCACTGGCCCTCCCTGCCTGTCTAAGTTTTCTTTTCTTTTCTTTTTTCTTTTCTTTCTTTCTTTCTTTTTGGTTTTGTTTTGTTTCTCGAGACAGGGTTTCTCTGTGGCTTTGGAACCTGTCCTGGAACTAGCTCCTGTAGACCAGGCTTGGCCTCGAACTCACAAAGATCCACCTGCCTCTGTTTCCCAAGTGCTGGGATTAAAGGCATGCGCCACCACTTCCTGGCCCCTAGTTACTTTCCTATTGCTGGGCTAATGTACCATGACCAAGGCAACCTATAGAAGAGGCAGTTTATTGGGGCTTACATTTATACATTATATACATTATATCA